AAAAAAAAAAAAAAAATGCAATTAGGTAGATGTATAAAAGCAAAGTTGACACTGTCAAGATCGCTAGAAACAAGCCGAACTACCTGGCACCAAATCGGACCATAGCTCTTCCCACATTTCCAGCCTCTTTTTACCAGTCTCGTCATCCTTTGCAACTGAAATACTTTTTCTTAGTCCCAGAACAATGTGTTCAGGAAATATTGAGTTCTTTTTTTAGCGAGTGACAACCGCAAAAAAAAAAAAAAAACAAACAGCCAGCTGGGCAGCTCTTTAAAAGGTATTGCAGATATACTCTGCGCAGGGGATGGATATTTACCGGAGGTATGCAGAACAGGATCGAACGAGCTCTACGCCAAGCGTATGGAAACATCCCAACAACATTACTAATATGAGGCAACCAGGCCGACTCTCAGTTCTTGCAGTTTACTGCCTGTTCCGAAATTCGGAGGGAAGATGCACGATCTTATTCCAAATCACCACATTCATTTGATCGATTCTTAAGCCGAAACATCGAAAGAGGATGTCTTCAGACGACAAGAAAGAGCGAACCTGATTGACATTTGCAGAGAAATACATAAGGGACGATATCTGTTGCCCATTTGCTCAGTATTTCGGTATTTCTGGCCAAAGCTCGCAAAAGATGCAAAATTGCTAGCTGGTCATCTGAAACAGGAAGAAATTCAACGTGTAACAGATGAGAGGGAAAGTCTAATAAATTTGGAGATATAATCTAAAGTATTCTAAGCTCACCTAAATAATCCTAGAATCCTACATTCTTTCCGAAAAATCTAAATTAAGTTCACAATCTGGTTGCTCTATTCGGGAGGTGTCATCATAGTCAATGCATTTTTCTTCTGATGAGATTTTTTTTTGGGAAAATAAGAGCACCTTGTTCACTTTGCAGTTTCCGTTTGATGTGATCCATGACTCGGTTCACTTCTGCTTTTGAGCAAAATGGTATCAGATAGGATAAGCACGAAGAGAACTGCTTTTTAATGGCCGGATTTCGATCAGTGAAACCGTGCATGAGGACGCGTACCATTTTATCTAAAATGCAACAGAAAATACGCATTTTTTTCGCATTTTTTTAAAGAAATTTCAATAAAACAGAGAGATTTTCAAGAAGCTTGCAACCGGAAGATATGTCTGCCCGAAAAGTTAAAAATTACTTTTCACAAGCAATGCTTTCCAGGAATTTCGAACTCTCATTCGTCAATCAGTATATCAATAAGATCACCGGACGGGTCATCAGTGTGAAAAACAGATTTTACTAAGCTGTATTTAAACGTCTAACATGGCTGTGCCAGGCTTCTTAATCCTCAGTTTAATTTGTCCAGTACATAGTGTACCGCATTAACTTTGTATATTTACAAAAAGTGCCCAATTGGTCAGAATTTTAGCTATTCACATTTAAGGTTAAGTGAAAATTTTGTTCGAAAATGTAGAAATGGATGATAGAAAAGGATGACAGAAAATGTAGAAATTTTTGCCTCATTCAAATTATTATTCAAATACTTAAATGCTGGCAAACACCAAATCATTCAGCTAAAAACCGAGAATTTATCCACCGAATGCATGGCTATTTGTTCGAAACGACTATGAAGTAGTAGAATGGAAGGATTGGTCTTAAGTGTCATGTGCCGAAGAACATTTTATTATGCGGTAAGTCACATTTCATCCCTTAGCTGTAAACACAGATCGAGCAATGTGTGCGAGTAGGAGTGGGAATCATTAATACAGCCTCCCACCCGCCATATTCTGAACAGTCATGTGGCTAATTTGCAGGACAGATATGTGAATAAGAGAGAAATGAAAGAGAGCGAGAAAGAGCAGACAAAGTGGGAGAGAAGAAAAGAATAAGAAAGTTAACAATCATTATATGCCAATTATGAGTAAATACTTTTTATGAAAAGAGCGTGCTGACTAGGCGTTTAATTCCTGAATCATTGGCTCTTTTAAGTTGGCGAACAGAGACGAACTGGTGCATAATAAAGCTTGGAATAGAAGCAAAAAATGCAATAACATACCGCACGTGGACGGAAAAGACAAAAGCATCTGTTGACGTCGTAGACATAAATCGATGATAAACTGACAGGTGCCAGTGCGTGTTGTTAGGCCAACACTGGACCGGAGCTGCTCGATGAGTTTATCACCGAGGCTACTGAAAACTGCCTCATCGATGTGCGGTACAACATCGCGAAGCGCATTCATCATCGGCGAGGTGTTGGCCAATGAAGCGCGAGCTGTATCCAGCTAAAAATATAATAGCTTCAGTGAAACACCAGCAGCAGCAGAACGTATTCAACACAAATCGAATCTCGAATTTTTCGTTTTCAAAGATGCTGATATTAAAAAAAAATGTGCATGCAGGCAGCCCTAACATTTATCTTATTCACCCTCCTTTTATTCCTTTTTAAACCTTACTTTTTACATAAATACACATCATC